CTGGACTATAGAAAGCACATCTGGACTATAGAAAGTACTTTTGGACTATAGAAAGTACTTCTGGACTATAGAAAGTACACCTGGACTATAGAAAGCACATCTGGACCTGCCATTCTGTTTGTTTCTACTTCCTGTCCTCTCAAACCCTTCTGGTCGAAGCAGACGGCCGCTCATCAAGTCTGGTTCTAATGGACGTTTCTTCCTGATAAAAGGGAGTTTTTCCTTCCCACCGTCTCCTTTGCGCTTGCTCAGGAAGGAAGGCTGCCACGAAGTGAAGATTCAACACAATCTGCTGTTTCCTTACATAAATAACTTTTACTGCTTGACTTTTTTATGTATAAGAATGTTTCTGTTCAGCGCCCTGAGACGACTTCTGTTGTGACTTGGTGCTATAGAAATAAAGTGAATTGAAACGTCCTGCAGCAGCCTCCAAAAAACCCCCCAGAGAAACATGTCTTTTTCATGTCCACAAAAACACAAAAAGACTGGACAAATAAACAAAGATGGAGATCTGGTCCACTGCTCCACAGCCACTATGTTCCTCCTGAATCAGAGATTTCGATGTCATTAAAAACATTAAAGTTCATTCACGTTAAAAACATCCAAACGTAACAGTTTCATTCATGTAGGAGACCATTTTTAGAGCTAAAATGTGATTATCAAACATTTGGCTTTTCCTAGCACGGTGAGCTGTGCATTTAAGAATTAAAATATATTTACAGTTTTCAGTAAGTGTGTAGATCTCAGTGAAACTGCGCGAGGACTCTGTGGCGGGTTTGTTTAGTACCTCATGAGCAGAGGGATCAGTTGGCCTCTGTGGGACGAATCGACCACGCCCGTCTCCTCAGAAATGTTGAAATGGATGATCTCCTCTTTGAATTGTTTGTCATCCAGGAGCCTCTCGAGATTCTCCCTGTAAACACGCACAGAGCGGTAAAAGCGGTTTCTGCTCCTCACGGCTGAACGTGGGGTAACGGACAGCATCAGGAACGAAGGTTACATTCCTGCATCGGTAACCACAGAGGGCTGACGGTGAGCCCGCAGTGGAGGAAAAGAAGGCTGTTCCCCGTCACATTGAAGGGTGAAGTCTTACTTGTACGGTACGACGTTGGAGTCTTTGTACGTGAGAACGCACTCCAGAGCCACTTGTTGAATCTGCTGATCCTGATGACACAACAACTGAACAGAGAACAGAACGGTGCAAGCGTTACAAAGAGGTGACGTGTACGTCGTACCTACAGGTGGATCTTAGTGAACTGATTATGTATGGAGAGCCATTTCATTCAAAATTAAATAAGTGTTATGTAAAAATTATTAATATTCCATTAAATAAATAAATGTTCGCATGAAATAAAACACTTAAATAGAAATGTTTAGTTTTTTTTTCTTCTCCAAGATGCATTTTTATTTATTTCAAGATTTATTTATTTATTTATTTATTTAATTCATAGTGGAGATTCATTTTGTGACACTTTTATTTTGTAAAGCTACTTTACATATTTCAGGGGCTTTTATTTTTTAACACCGTTTTTCATTTTAAGCGCTTTTTATTTCATGTTCTTATATTCAAATGAGGGGGCGGGGTTTGCTCCGTGGGGCGGGTCTGGTCAGGATTAGCGGATTGCATCTGTTTCGCAGAAACTGACGTACTCCAATCTTTTTTGACCAATCACAGCAAAGTATTCTCCTCGCTGAGCTCTGCTTGGTGCAGTTACCGTCAAATCATGAATTAACTGTTCAGAAAGTCAGGACGACAAGCGGGTAATATGGAGGACACTGGAGAACTCCGAGATGAAATGCAAAGATTTGCTGATGAAACTGAGCATTATACGTTTACATTATATTTACATCCCGCGTTGTAATCCAGCAGGTCTCCTCTCTGCTGTGAGACTGACAGCTGTCAGGGCTTGGGGAAGTGGGAGGGGCTTACGGCACGCTGACGACAGGAATTGCTGAACAATTGGTGCTTTCGCATGCAGTCGCCGAAGTCTCCAGTAATACAGAAAACAAGTCGATTTGTCACTAGTCGCCTTTAAAATTTTTTTTTAAAAAGTTGCGAGAGGGGTCTGAAAACTCGCTAAATAAAGCGAGAAAGTCGTTAAATTGTCAACACTGAAGCCATGTCCGCTACTGTGCTCCAGCCCGTGCGGAAACATTGTGCTGCACATTGGTTCCTCTTCAAAAAAGGGCCTGCGTGTGTTTTAGCGTGAGAAATACAACGTGTGCCGTGTGCAAGTCATGAAATGTGTGCGTCTCACGGTCGACGTGAGACTTGAGAGGCCATCGTTTATTTTATTTTTGATTTAGTTATTGATTTGCACGGCCTATAAAACTCGTAGATGGGCTGCATTGACCCTGACCACACCCTCCCCACAGAGAAAGCCCCGCCCCCTTATTTGAATATAACAACATAAAATAGAAAGAGCTTAAAATGAAAAAGAGGGTTAAGAAAATAAAAGCCCATGAAATATATAAAGTAGTTTTACAAAATAAAAGTGTCACAAAATGAAACTCCATTATTAAATAAATAAATCAATTTTGAAATAAATAAAAATATATCTTGAAATAAAAAATAAATAAATCTTTAAATAAACAACAATAAATATTGGGGAAATTTTTTTTAAAAATTTCTATTAAAATGTTTATTTCATGGGAACATTTATTTATTTAATGGGATATTTATTAATAATTTTTAAATAACACCATTTCTGAATGAAATGAAAATTTATATCCATTTTAAATTATTTAAAAAAGGTATTTTTTTCTTCATCTAACTTAGTTAATCTGAAATATTTTGTGCCCGTTGCTCATAATCTGTAAATCCACTGAAAGCCAGGCTGTGAGGCCAAAACAGAATCCCAAAGGAGGGTGGATACGTTGTCGGTATGTGTTCGTACAAAGCCGAGCGGAGGACTACCTGGTTGTAGAGCTCGCTCAGGCTGCTCTCCAGGTACAGAGATCGAGGGTCGCTGAACTTGGCGAACACCGTCAGATGAGCGATCAGTTGCCTGAGGGAGAAAACTTTAATCTCAGAACTGTTTCTTCCTGTTCACAGCGCGTTTCGAAGCATTTCCGGCGTCTTACTTTGCAGCAAGTTTCCTTGGCAGCGCCTTCTTCTGCTGCTTGGGCCCTTCCTCTGCCGCCGCCTCCTCCTCCTCCTCGTCCATCTCCACAGCTGTCTCCTCCTGCTCAGCATCTCTTTGCTTCCTCAGGTCTTGAGTTGGTGCCGCCAGCATGTCGGCAGAGTAAAACTCGTTCCTGCGAAACAACAACATAGAAATAATTTACAAATTTTTAAAAAGCCACCATTGCTCCGAACCGCCAAAGAAACCAGCACGGACTTGATGAACCGGAGCAGCAGCGGGCTCAGTTCTCGGCTGCGAGGCTCCACCCTGTCGGGGAACTGGGCCATGGCCCGCCACAGCAGGCTGCGGAAGTTAGGGAAGTCCGTCCTCTCGCTGGGGTCAAAGGTAATTTTCAGCTGGTTCAGGAACAGGACACCGGCGTCGCCGCTTTCAATGACATCACAGCCCGGCTCTCCTCGCAGGGTCGACTCGTCATCACCGTCATCTTCCTCATCCAGAGCCGCTTCTAGAGTTGCGTGCAGAAAAATACGTCAAACAAACAATGCTAAACGTTTCTCATGCTGACAAACAAACAACCTCACCAGCCAGAGTGGCCACCATCTCCAGATGTTCATAATAGACCCTCCAGAAGTCCCTGTTGTCCATTCCTCTGGCATGGCTCCTGTTGAGACGAGAAGACGAATAAAGCGCGTTGAATATTCAGACCTGCTAACATCGCTCGTTTAAAGTCCCCTCGCTGTGAAACTACGCCTCGCTAACTTGTTTTAAAAACTCCATGAAGTAAAGAAGACGCTCACACGAGAAGCTCGATGACAGGATCCCACAGCAGCCTGAAGTTCACCATCAGCATGGCCATGAGATACCGCAGAGGAACCTGGAGATAGAACAAAACAAAGTTTATTAAAGTCTAAAATGCAGCATTACCACATTTTTCAGTCTATAAGTTGCAGTTTTTTTGCACAATTTACATGCCTTGCAACTTATAGGCTGAAGCGACATATTTATGGATTTTTTCCCCAATATTTATAAACCATTTTTGGCTGAGATATGACCGTTTTCATTCATTCTGACTGAAAAAACAAACTGAGCAGTACCACTTTCAGCCACTTGATGGCAGCAGAGTGATAATGGAGCACCGAGGCATAGAAGCTATTTTTGAAATTCAGCTGATTTCATCATCAAAGTGCATTTATTAAGCAAATGTTAGACTGAGACACATATTTAATATAATTTAGAGCAAACAAATAATTGTTTGTAAACGTTAATCTTGTTAAATTCTTGTTAAAGTCCTCCTGTGCACGCTCCAGCAGCCGCCATTTAACAGCCCACACGGAGAATTTTAAAATAACTGTTGAAAAAAAATCCTCACTGGCACTTGTTTCGCCAGCAAAAGTTACAGTTATGGTAAGTTTCCAAACAAAAAGAAAACCCACGTAACTATGAGTGATTCACCTTTGCACTAGAGACTGGCCGATCGGGAGAGGTCGATGTATCGGCAGAGGTCGATGTATCGTCAGAGGTCAATGTATCGTCAGAGGTCAATGTATCGTCAGAGGTCAATGTATCGTCAGAGGTCGATGTATCGTCAGAGGTCGATGTATCGACAGAGGTCGGTGTATCGACAGAGGTCGTTGTATCGACAGAGGTCGGTGTATCGGCAGAGGTCGGTGTATCGGCAGAGGTCGATGTATCGACAGAGGTCGGTGTATCGGCAGAGGTCGGTGTATCGGCAGAGGTCGGTGTATCGGCAGAGGCCGATGTATCGGCAGAGGCCGATGTATTGGCAGAGGTCGGTGTATCGGCAGAGGTCGGTGCATCGGCAGAGGTCGGTGCATCGACAGAGGTCGGTGTATCGGCAGAGGTCGGTGTATCGGCAGAGGTCGGTGCATTGGCAAAGGTCGGTGCATCGACAGAGGTCGGTGTATCGGCAGAGGTCGGTGTATCGACAGAAGTCGATGTATCAGCAGAGGTCGGTGTATCAACAGAGGTCGGTGTATCAACAGAGGCCGATGTATTGGCAGAGGTCGGTTGTATCGGCAGAGGTCGGTGCATCGGCAGAGGTCGGTGCATCGGCAGAGGTCGGTG